CATTGTGTGGATTTGCCTTGTCTAAATTATGATCCAATACATACGGGATCAGGTGAAAAGTTTAAAAGACAATCATTTATTAGTGTTATTAATAACATTATTTAACACATGTAATTTGGCATTGTTTGTATGCAAGGGTTCCATTTTTAAAGTTTTTTTAGATACAATGTTAATATTACTTATATATGTCTGTTTATGAAATAGTTCCATCAACCATAAAGCAAAGGTTTATGAGACTGGACTATCAACGAATATTCGAGTTAAATTTTAGAAAACCGCGCTTCGTGGTAAAATTGTGATTACAACATTCAAACTAAAACTCAAAATAACGTTATATAGGTAACCGAATATACTTATGAACGTCAACAGAAAAGATATTAAATTGATCTAAAGCAAGTCAAGTCAAGGGCGTTGAGTTTTGAGTTTATTCACTGATAATTCTCTAATTTCGCTTGGGAGTTTGTTGTAATAATGAATACAATTTCCATACAAGGAGTGGTTTATCTTCTGGAGTCTGGTCGTACGCTTAGATTAGTTCTATTTCGAGTATTATACTTTTGAAAGTCACTTTGTTTTAAAAACCTGATAGTGTCATAATGTTAATTCCTTAAACTTCTGCTGTACCGACCCCCATGGGGAAATACAACAAATCCCCCGAACAGCCCGCTTCTACTTCTTTTTTGAGCTGTATTCTACGCTGTTCTTGAATACTGTAGATACACTCATATGTAATGTACATGTACATTAGTATACATAGGTAAATGTATAACACTATAATAAATGCATGTAAAATTGCTAAAACAATGCTAGGCATGCGGTCATATAACCAGATCGATATTTAGGCTTATCCTCACAAATCGTTAGATATCACGGCGTGGTGTTGACACGCGGCCGACAGACACGGATTACGGGATCTGCATCACAAAGCTGACGACTGACGACCGTCACCACTTGCCACCGTTCGCCACCAATCGCCACCGCGAGTTTACTACGATTGCGACAACTTTACGTCATTTACACGGCTGGTTTTTGATTGCGCTTCTTCTTTTGTTTTTATTTACATACTTCTATTAAATTTATTTATCTAGTATATTGTATCTACATAGTAATAATAATACATTTATTAATAGAAAATTAAAACCAATTTAAAAAGTTTGGTCGCTGTGGCAGTACCTTTAACGCTGGCAGCATTTCCTCGCTGTATTGCGATACTTTTTCGTTGAGCGAGGAAAGCACCAGCTCTGGAGTCACCAGTACTATCTACCAGGCGCCAACTTAAATATTTAAATAGCGCTTGAGCCTGCTCCTTATTTTATCTTATATATATGTTTTATAAAACGTTAATGTATAAAATAGGGACAGATAAAAAACATTCACGTCTCTTTAACTCAAAAATATTTTACATATAAAAATAATTGTTACATAAATGTTTGTAAGTGTATTGACTAAATACAAATCCAATTTTTCAAAGTAATGTTTCTATTAATAATGTCTCTTGTTACCCAGTTGAATGTCTATTAATTCCTTTCAAGAAGCCCCCAATCGATATACGGTCCTATTTCACGGACGAACGCCCGCGACTGAGTTCCTGGTGCGTTTGGAACTTTGTCGAATTTGTAAATCCACCGCTTTTATAAACTTTTGTTTTGCGGCATCCATTTATGCGAAAGCCAAAGTTTGCCTCTGAATGTAACAAAGACGTACTATGTTACACGAACAAACGGCCTAAGTGCTAAGAAGTAGAGGGTTTAGTATATTGTTTTTTTAGAGATGTAGGCTAATATATCTCCACATATACCGTTGGCTACTTCTTAAGTTAAGTTCGCGCCAAGACTTGCGATTGTTTATACTGAAACATTAAAAATATTAATCCGATTGAACGAATCGAAGTCTCATGGTATTTATATCCAAATTATCGTTCTAATAAGCTTTAAAACGTATATAATAGGGTCGCGTGTCCCGCACACGACCGCCCGCGTCGGCGGCCAACCATCAACTTGCATAATTTTTAATCACACGACTGAGTAAGCACCTAATACCGTTGAACGCGCTATTGAGGGTAGAAATAGAATTGACTTTTGCAGAACGAATCATCTTTATGCGCAGTTTTAACGCTTTGTAACTGCTTTTTAATATTTATGTAATTTTATGGCTATTTCTGACCGATTTCGTGGTTATTCGACAAAAGATTATATTACGGCCATTTAATTCTTCCAAGGTCCGCTTCACAAGACATTTTCTTTTGCGACTTATGTGGAATCGACGCCCGATGGGGTTCTTCCCTGAGAGATACGACCTCTAACTGCTTATAAAAGAGCATACTTCTCCCTCAAAGGCCGGCAACACACCCACTAAAATGGGTGCCCATGGTCTGCGATGACTGACGATGGCGTCCCGTAGGGTTGTTTGCTCCCCTTAATATATATTGAATATTACATATAATATTTAAATGGTAACTTAAACACGATTTATAATCTTACATCGTCTTTAAATTGTGAATTATTGTTGCCATTTCAAACAAAAACAATAGGAAAATGATTGAGATTACATCAAACCAGTATGCAATCAGTTGTTAATATTTGATTTAATGTAATAAAAATGTATAATAATTCAAAATATACCTACATATTTATTTAGAATACAAGAAGGCGGGAAAAAAACAAATCATATGTTATTTTAAACTTTCACCCTATCAAAGATTAATTTCCCTATTCACTCACTGATTTGGAAAAATATTAAAAAATTAAATCGTCTCAAAGGGGATCGCATTATTCGTAATAGAGTCAGCAACTGTCCATTAATCCAGCTATTGTGATGTTAAACTGTGTCAAACTGATCTATTTTTTAATTATACGCCTCGACTAACTCTAATAAGGGCATAAATAGGGCGGTAGTTGCGTTATAATGTATATTTGGAACAAGTTTTATACAAAAATTTTAATGTTATTTAAGACAGGTCTTTTCAAACGATTTGAAATATTATTTTAATTAAGGCTAAACTTGACATTTATCAGTGATGACGTTTAACTTGTAAGTCCTTAGACTGAACATGATCGATCCAACTAGGTAACCAATATTGTATTGGTTGTGGCTGTCATATATTGGCTATAGTTTATTTTTATTTGACGAATACATTCCATGCATAGATTACAGAGGCGTTCTCGTTTCGAATTTTACTTTGTTGCCGCTTCTTGAAATGAAACGACCAACTCGACTCTCAATCGAACGCTCTGATTGGGCAATGCCTTGTTCATATTACCTACGACTCCTTCGCATATTATATTTGCTAAAGTTTAGACCTATTTTTCTATTATAACAACATCCAAGACAACATAATATGTTAAATAGAGTATTTAAAAGTAGATGCGTTTTAATATATACACATATTCGGAACAAGATTTATACAAAATTTTTAATGTTATTTAAGAAAGGTCTCTTAAAACGATTTCAAATGTTTTTTTAATTAAGGCTTGGAATGACATTTATCAGTTATGAGCGGGACTTTTAACTCGTAACCGCTCAGACACAACATGATCGATTCAAATAAACATTACAGTATTATGTTGGTTTTGGCCGTCATAATTATCTATTGTTTATTTATATTTGACGACTACATTCGATGCATAGACTTCAGATGTGATGCGTTCTTGTTACACATTTTAATTTGTTGCGGCATCTTGAAATGAAGCGATCATCTTAGGCAATGCAATCTTCTCAAGTATCTAAAGAACGACTTGCCTCGATTTTATATTCACTAAATATATTCTACGACTTCTTCAAGTAATCATGATGGGCAAGGTCGAGGGGAAAAGACGCGCTGGCAGAAGGAGGAAGTCGTGGCTCCGCAATATTAGAGAATGGACGGGAGTGGCCAGCGTAGAACAGCTGATGCGCTTGGCGAAAAATAAGAAGGAGTATGACGAGTTGACCGCCAACCTCCAGTAGTGGAGAGGCACTTCAAGAAGAAGAAGAAGAAATATATTCTATTAAAAAAATCTACAAATCTTCCTCTCATACAAAACGCCAATTTCATATGTAAGTACCTAAATATTGCCAAGTACAAAGATATCCAATACGTAGCAATTAAAGCTTAAGTACAAGGAACTCGGTGAATCCCGTCCATAATTTAAATGTCTGCAGAATTTCCACGGAGTGCGTCTGACAAAACAAATCGTCGAAACCAATTTTCTCATACGGATTTAACGGGAGCTCTTACTGCATCGTACAGTCGAATGCGAAAATGAAAACACAATTTTAATATAAAGATTTTGAATAAAATAAATCAGTGGCGCTACAACCGTTTTAAGTCTGGGCCTCAGATTTCTGTCTGTTTCATGATCATTAGCTAATCTAATAGGCAAGTAGGTGATCCTGAGCCTGACACATGCCGTCGACTTTTTGAGCCTAAGGCAAGCTGGTTCACGACCTTCACCGTTCGAACGAATCTACGGCTTCAGGTATGAGAGTGGCACGTTGAAGCTACTAAGGCAATATTACTCTTAAGATATTGAATGTTAGAAAAAATCTTGGATGATTGATGAATTAAGCGAATTTCATACTAGAATTTGTCTACTGTCATACGACACGCTTGAGGTGTCCGATAATCCCCTTCAAAAACGGACACGTAATGAAAATTTATTGTCCGTATACTTATAATGGTGCAAATAATACGCGTGTGTGAAGTGAATTCCTTTATTCATTTTTGTGTCTTTGTGAGTGGTGGGCAATAAAGACAAGAAGATTTTTTTGTGACCTCCTCTTGCCATAATCACAGGTTGAAACCTTCTCGAAAGCGCTCTTCTGCAATGCTGATATTTTGTAGAGCAAGTTGCAATGATCTTCCTAGTCTCTTTAGAACATCTCAGACATGGTCAATTGGATTGAAGTCAGGCCTTTCAGCTGGTCAAACAAAACCACGGAACTTCTAGCATGTACGCTTTTACGTCGCCAGAACGGTGCGGGCGAGCATTATCGTCCATAAAAATGGAATCGAAGTTAGCTTAGGGACTGTCACGATTAGGCTTTTGACTACCGTCCAATCTATCTGGAGTTGCTGCCCGGCCAGCCCTAATTCTTCGAAACTGTGACATGAACATGGAGTCTGGACGACTAAAACCAGACAGTATTTATGTTTGTTTTCTTAGTAAGAAACCTAACCATTGACCGTATCCTAACATGTGGTTTAACGATTTGCGGATATATAATACATAGACAGAATGGCATTGGTTAGCCGCACTAACCACAGAGTTACTCCCTCTCATGTGTTAGTATTTTGTTCATATACATTGTATCAGTTACACTCCCATTTTATGCGCTAAAAGAATAACTATTAAATACGCTATCTATAGAACTGTACAGTTCGTAAGGCAGCTTGTAATGTGCTATAAAGTCTGGCTAAAGTAGTCGTTTAAAAAATGATATATTTATTATTTATATATATTTTATTTTTATTTTTGCGGACACTTTAATCTTGACCATGATTTTTATTTCTACTACGGCTTTGTCTTATATACTCTAACGTAACGTAAGCGAAATTGAAATTTGTGTAAGAAAAATATTTTTTGAATAAATAAATTACAAACTAGTAATCATTGTGAATGCCGTTAAATATTAAATTTTCTGTAAAGCTCCTAGAAAATAGATTGGGCATAGACATTACATACGGCCATAATTTTTTTTTTTACCAAAAATGCATGTGCTTTCTTAACACAAATCTCCAGATTTTAATATATAATTCTTGATTGCTTACAAACAACTTGTCGTTGAAATATAATCGTAATCTTAATTTCAATACGCAGTTTCATCGTCGGGTGTACTCTGCCGCCTCTATGATTCTTTTTAAAAGCTTAAAGCTCATTTTGGATTCGCCTAAATATGCAGCTTTTAAATGAAGTCTCAGACATTGCGCGTGTCCATTGTTTTACTTGTATTCAAGACTTTAACTTACTTTTAACATATAAAGTTTGTAGGTTGTTTGTGAACCGTTAATAGATTTCTGATGTAATTTTTAGATATTTACTGAAATTATTTTAAAGCATATGTATTTAATTATATTTCTTTATGGTCTAATAATTTGATTTTTAATTTAACTATTTTGTATTTTGATTAAAATTATAATGGCCCGCCGGAGAAACGCATTTAATATTTCAATTGTATTGCAAAGTAATTAATTTGTAGTGATTATTATTATAGTTTTAGTAAACTAGAAAGTTTTACGAATATGACCGTGACATCTATGCTATGGGTTTAGTGCCATTTTAGATTGGCGTAGACGACGTGAATAGTTTCGTTTAGAGTGTGTGGGAACGTGGACCATAGAGAAAAACTATTGAAAAAGAGATAAGTATCAATAAAACATGCTAAATGTTATACTTAATATAAAAATATCTCGTCTGTGTCTACTATTACTACACTCTGTGCAGAAAGGGAATCGCCGTGACAGTTATGCGAACAAATATAATGACTCCTAGTATTTGAACTATTCACAAAAACTATATAGATTATTTTTTTCGTCTTATCAACAATTAACAGATTTACCACTGTAACGACCACATATTCCGTGACGGTACTCTTTCCGCATAGACTATATTTTTCGTAATTTAAATTTTTAGAACGATTTATTTAATGGATTTTCAATATTCCCACAGCTACACTTATAATATATAGTTAGCAATTAACAAATAAAACTAGTGAAAAAAAAGATAATACGAAATTAACGACACGTTTTAAGAATTATTAGCTGAAAACCAATGATCCCACATTCCTATGCATCACTTGAGATTTTTCAACTTATTATATTTTATATTTAAAAAAAATTATTACGAAACAAGTAGGTACATATAGGTAAATGACTTCAGTGTATGTGAGAGTTAACAAAACATAACAGATTTTTTATGTCATTGTTAGGCATCTTCTACTTAAATTAAATATATCTATGTATTGATAGTTTCATTTAATATTTAGGTATATAATACATTGTTGAGTTACATAGATAGACCAATAAATTTGAATAGTTTTTGATATAAATAAGGGATGCGCAATAATAAAAGCGACAACAAATCAAGGCAGTCAATCAATCCATTGTAAATAGCGTGTAAAAACATCAGGTCGTATTGTTATCTAAATTCTAAGGTTTTAATAGTACTTTCAGCATTCTATAGCTCCGGAAATTCTAAATGTTGCTTAGACCCAGAAGAATACTGTTTTTTTATTTTCAGATATTCTTTTGAGCTTGCAACTAGAATAGCGAGCGCCAATACAATGGAAACAGTTTGAAGTATCGTACGCTCAGAAGCAATTTATTAAAGAAGTGAATACCCAATTACCAGTCTACTGACGGTTAAGTGCCGATTTCGCCGATCGCCTGATCCCGGTTTCAAACGTAACATTTAAATTTTTATTCTGAATTCTCATTTCATACGCCTGGTTGGTATTTGTATTTAACGTAAATTTATTCTAATATATCTGACAACTTAGTTATTTTCATCACACAGGGTTCAGGCGGTCGCTCTCATGAATCAGTCGTGAAGCAGTCATTTCATGATTTGGCAATCTTATAAACAATTAACTACAAGCTCCCACCTTTTAAATGTTAAACAAATTTAAAAAAAAATTGGAGAGAGACCGACGAGGAAAAAAACCGCGGGTGTGTGAAAAAGGTTACAAAAAAAAAGGTTAAAAAAAAACACACAGCCAATAACCATTATTAAACCTGTAGATGTTAATACAAACATACAAATTTCATCAAAAGCGGTTTCAGTTTAGGAGATGTTTAATTACAAACACACATAGGTACATTGTGTGTACCAAATGGCATAAACACAACTCCGCTTTTATAAAGAAATAAAGCGATCGCATTGCACTTTTTTAATTAACGTCTTACTCATCTCTCTAGTAAACACAATATGAAAGAAAGAGACAAAAGACAAATGCACTAGTTGAAAGTGCAATTAAACTGATTTAGTGTTTATTAAAAGGATAGTCTTTAAAGAAGACCGTTGCCAACCGTACTTACTACAGTACTGATACCTACCGACAGGAGACAGCGCTGCTAGCCCAATCGGCCCAAAGCACAGGTATTGGTACTGTTCGATGATTGTATTAGCGTTCATGAGTTCTCCCCAAGTATGGTTCTCGGCTGTGCGCTGCGAGTGGAGCCCTTGTCTCCTCGTGAACCTGTAGCCCGCAGCCGTAAAACCTGTATAAAATAATCCACATGAAGTAGGCATAGCCCCGAAAGGGTCTAAGCACACCCCAAGGACGGTCAAGGGTGCAACAATTACAACGAACCAACTAAGACTCCTGCCCTTCAGGCGATTGAGCATTCCGTGACGGCCCAAGCCAAGGTCCGAGTCGCAGGACACCCTTGCGCTAGTTGCGGGAAAAAGCCCATTCATACAAAAACAGCCCGAGCTGAGGTGTCAAGGCCCTTCAGCCCAACAGCGAGATTCCATTATATAAAAAAACAACGTTTGGTATTAATTTACTCCAACAGTCCCATTTAAATAAAAGTAGTGACTTGTGTATGCTGTATAGAACAGCTTAAGTTATGTAAATTCTAGACACATTCTATTTCCGCGCGTCTAAATAACCGTGCTATGATAAATTAAACACAAATTGGCCACCTCTGTCGTCGGATTTGTTTCCTTTGATCGTGTTTAGCTACGTTAGCCACTTTAGCCACGCCACAAATTATTCCCGCGTGAAATTATTACGAAAATATATTTGTGTATATTGCTTTATTTGTACGATGAATAGATTGAAGTACCGTGACGATGGTGGTGCATGCCGCCTAATGATATTTTTTACGCTTGTTAATGTATATTGTCGGAATCGAATCCAGGACACCAATGCACAGATAAATAGACGATTATTATACGCCTGTTAACCTTAACAGCCAGTTCTGGACAAAGGCCTCTGCCCAAAATTTCCATTAGGTACGACAGGTTCCCCGCACTTTGAATCCAATGCGTTACTCCACCTTCACCAGGTCATCTGTTCTCCTGGTGGGACCAATGTTAGGCCGACTGGTCAACCCTTAGGTAGTATTAAAAAAACAAATAAGCGGCGATGCAACCATTTTTAGGTCTGGGCCTCAGATTTCTGTATCTATTTCATAATTACTTGTCAATCTAATAGGCTAGTAGGTGATCAGCCTCCTTGTGTAAGGTAAGCCGGTTTTCTCTCGATGTTTTCCTTAACCGTTCGAGCGAATGTTAAATGCGCAAATAGATATTCTATTGGTGCACAGCCCCGGCTCGAACCTACGACCTCAAGAATCAGAGTCGCACGCTGACACCACTAGGCAACACTTAAGTAGTACAACAAAAGTATTTTTTTTTATAGTACCTGGCACCTGCGTATTGGTAGTAGTTTTATTAAGGGTATGAGAGTGTGACCTGGGACAAAACCATTACCATTTTAATATACTACCTCTATAGGGGGACCTGCAGAAAAAGTTATGGGCTTTGAATAGAAACTGATAGTTTATGGCCGGAAAAATAAAGCCTACAATAAAAATGGAAATTAGTTACGGTTCTAGAAACAGAACCGTAATATTTTCATGAAGCGTTATATAACAATTGTTATTGCATTCGTAAAAGAGACAGTTTGAAATTATAAAAAAAATATTACAATTCAATTTGCTATACGAAATAAAAATTATGCGCCATCTTTATGCTCCCGTCTTATCCTGCTACGTTCAACAATAATTTCCAAAATTTATTTTATACAGGAAATGTCTCTCAATATTAACACATTTTACTTTTGAGCTGTCACAGGTTTTTTAGGTATACACATATATTGACTGAGTGTACCTACAGATCAGAGTAATGGTTTGTTAAAAAGTATATATAGTTGTGACTTGTTAGTTGAGTAGTTTAGCTTATCGCACATGACCTGTTTCACGGAAGACCTGGATGCGATGCGTGGCGAATCAATAAACTTTTCGGCTTCATGGACATAGCTGATCAATTACTTACTATAAAAAATAATCTATTGCTGAAATGTGTGTAATTAAAAATTCCATAATTACGAGTATCAAAGAACGTACAAATTCACATATGTTGAAATCAAAGGAAATTGTCAAATTTTAAATCTAACCATTAAACGCAGACATTTATTAATGTAAAATAATTTATCTTTTGGGTTGATGGATTGCTTTTATTGCTACCTTATGCGACTTTTATGTCCTTAATATCTAAAGAGTGTCGTTTAAATAGCATCCACTCAGACACAGAAAAGCAACGTACTTTAAAACAATTTCCAACCAGCAATTTATAGGTCATTGTGGCATCGTCAACACTTCAAAAATGAAGTGGACTATAGCGAGATCAGAGAACCGAGTGAAATCTTTGAGTCAACGGTAGTCGGTAGCACGACAAAACGTGTATAACTCATATCATTTGTCACTTTTAATTGCCTCTTGTTGGTTGTCGAAAGTGTCTGAAGAAAGCTATATATTTTACTTTATTGTGAAATAAACGTTGCGTCCCTTGTGCACAGCTCCAGCGTTCAAAAATTGAGACATTAAACGCCGCTGGAAAGTAATATTCTGTTCAAAGGACTTATTTATACGTCGTCGCTGATAACCACTTTGATGTCAACATGTTCAGAATTGTAAACGGCAATAAAAAACTAATGGTATCCGTTTTTCAGGCGCCATTAATCGAATTTGTGGCATAGTCTTGTCACTTCAAGCGAGACATTAATCACAGACTATGGAGCAGCTTTAAAAATTGCTTACCAAAATTCCAACATATAAAATTACTCATGCAAATAACAGACGAAATAACTTAATTCTAATGTGAAGGAGTTAAATGCGAATCTAATGAGGAGCGGTAAAATAATAACAGCCGCGTTTATAACGCAATAAACTAAATATATTCAGCGGTGGTGCGTGACGCGCATCCGAACGTGGCGGTTTGACAGACAATTAAAAATGACAGATGACTTGCCGCCGCCATGTTGAAGCGCGATCAAAAGAGCCCGCGTATTCCCTTGAAATAAAAAATCGGTCAACACATTTTTAGCTAGTTAAGCTTGATAGATTTGTGCGACGTCAATCAATGTTACGCAATTAACGTTGGTAATTTTTCTTTCCGCTAAATTTTAACGTGTAACAAGACATCTTCATAACAAAAAGCTTATGATTAGCTATAACGAAAGATAATGTTTCCCGTAACTAGGTTGATGAATAGGTAGATAATATATTGTTGATACAGTGACGGCCTCCAAGGCAGGATTGCCGCACGCTTGTAGGCCCGTAGACATGTATTTGTAACTTCGCCTTGGTTTTCATAGGCAAGGAGATCTGTGTAATAGAGAACAGATTAAGGGACTCTGTAAAACCAATACCGATTCTAATGCATTATCTAACGGAAAGATTATAAAGTGGGTAAATAGAAAAAGAAAAAGTAGTTCAAATCGTTACATAGGTATTTACTATGTATATATAACCCCAGATGAATAGTGGGTGCATGCACTAAATACATTTTAGCGTCTGTTTCGTTGGTCACTTTTTACCTATAATGAGACCATGGTGAGGTGAGCCTTTGTTTACGCTAGGAATTAAACTTATAACTTCCGGACTTGACTTTATTCTTGATAGTACTTGTAAGGAAAGTCGCACTTTAAGGTTTCCTTATAAGGGGTCTGTTTAAGCGTGTGATTTCAAAGCCTGTGCACCAATTAATTTGAGCTTATGCGCAAGTAAAGTTAGCTCTCGGCGCATTCATCATAAGCATTTACTGGCCCGCGTTAAGCTATCTTCTTTTTAGTTACGATCTAATCTTAATTGTAGGGCCAGCAATAGAATCCTTATGGCTGTTGATGATGCAGATTGCCATTTTATTTGGTTGGCGGGCAAACTGGACGCCCAATAAGGGCAGTCATTGCCCATTTACACCCATTTTAGTGGGTGCGTTGCTAGCCTTTTAGGGAGGAGTATACTCTTTTTTAAACAATTGGTGGACTCCCGGAGTGTTTATACCTCCAGTCGATACCATAGTTTGCTAGTTCGCAAAAGAAAAAGTCTTGTGAAGCGGATCATGGAAGACTTCCTACCATCAAAATGATGCGGATGAAATGAAATAACGACTATTCACAAAAAAAATAGGAACATAATACATTTTTGATTTAGATATAGAGATATTTCATGAAATTGGACTTGACTAATGTACCTACGTAATTTAATCATATGAAAAATCATATTGATTTTTTTTTTTTTTTATCTAATAGGAGGCAAACGGGCAGAAGGTTCACCTGATGTTAGGTGATAGCGCCCATGGACACTCACATTGCCAGAAGGCTCGCAAGTTTTAAGAATTGGTACGCTATTTTCTTGAAGGACCCTAAGTCGAATTACTTCGGAAATACTTCAGTGGGTAGCTGGTTCCATATATTGGTAGTGCGCGGCAAAAACTGCCTTAAGAAACGCTCAGTTGTATATACTATGAATGAAAAAATTGTCTCCTAGCACCTACTTTTGAACACACTTAATCGGTACTAATTTGGTGGATCTTCTAAAGTCTGGTCAAAAAAACAGGAAAAAAGACAAAATAACTTGGAAACTATTTAATATCAACATCGACCTTATATTATCTTCACTGGCTAATATTTACAGCATTGAGCATCCACTTGTATAACTTAAATTAAAATAGGCATAGGATACAGTAATTATTTACACACTATACATAGAATTTGAGAAAAACCTTATAGAATTAATTAGAATTACTATTTACAAATTATATTAGAGCAAGCTTACCACGACATTACAATAGCCATTTCAGATTTTAACATTAAATTAACGTTGGCACTTCTGAAAGAACTTTCATTGTAATTGGGTTTTATCGTAAGACTAAGAAAACTTAATATTGCAATCGGAATCGCTTTTAAAGTAACGTGGTAAGCCTAGCGTTGAGAGATTCTTTGACTTTGGTTACAATAATGTTTTAAATTAATGAAAGATAATTGAAAATGATACGTATTAAAGTATCTGTACTTGGCAAGATTGGGCGATTCTGCAATTGGCAAAGTAAATTAAAAAAGGTTGTGCAAATGACAACTCTTGCCAACAAATATGTAGTTTGTTTATAAAGATTATAATGATTATTTAAGAGATTTCTAATATTAATAAAAAAATACGGGAATACCTATCGAAAAGGATTCGTAAAAATATCGCAAGGCATCAGCCAAGTTCGGACGAATGTAACCAAATTTAACACGCAATGTTAAGGTACAAATCAAAATAAACAATAATGAAGTAGCTTACAAGAGTTGTTTCTTTAATAACTATTGCTTTATAAATATGTAGGAAGGATAGTGATAGGTTATCATGAAGCAACCTGAAATAAGTAACATTTTGACAGCGGATTATGAAGAATTAATTATTTAATTAATAATAAGACAAGATAATAAGGGAGATAATCTAAATAATATTTAATTTAAACAATAATCAATATTCAAGAATCCTTTGTTTACAGAGTTTGAATGCGTTGATCTTTTGTTTTACTTTACAACTGGTAGATTATACTTTTAAGCCGTGTTGACCTAGTGTCCTTAACGTGCCACTCTCATCCCTGAGGTTGTAGGTTCGATCCCCGACTGTGCACCAATGGACTTTCTGTCTATGTGCGCATTTAACACTTGCACACTCGAAAACATCGTGAGGATACCGGCATTAGACTTAAAAAGTCACAATGTTAGGCACAAAAGTATGATCACCTACTTTTCTATTAGAAATGATCACGTGTTCCGTGATACATAAATCTGAGGCCCAGACCTGAAGGTTATAGCGCCATTGGTATACCTATATCATTTATTAGATATTATTGTAGTGTTGTCTTGCGTAGGTACATGATGCGTTTATTATATTCGAATAAAGCTAGTAGATGCTCAGAACAGGGCTTTTATGACATAATTTACACTGAGCATAAATATAAAATAGGTACATTTGATTAAAGTAACATTTTATTTCAATACATTTCAATCGTTGACAATGTTTGCAATATGGACGGTAAATAATTTTTACAGCTGTATTCTTGAATATAGTAATTTCAATAAGCCATTTTACGGAATAATACATATGAAATTTGATATCTTATCCTCGTAAACTACAAAACGAAATCTTAATTACAAATCTTATGTTACCATATCACATCCGATTCATAATTCACTTACACTAAATTGCACTAAATAAACACTTTAATTAAATTCACATTTTTGGTTTACAAGGGCATCACTTTAACTTAACGGTATCTAGTAAACGTAATCACAAACAGAATTACGAATTGCATAATAAGTCAAAAAAAACATATAATAAGGCAGTCCATACAAATCCAATAAGCTAGCTGTTAGCAACAAATAGTTCGAAATTCGAATTATGACCCATTTACTGAGTGTTGTAGTAAGCGACACATTCACCATACCAAGGCGAGTACTGTAAAACGTAGTCTATTCACATTTTTCTAATATCCTTGACTTCAATTCGATAGTCCACATTCGGTTTCCTTCTCGACCCTCGGGTCCTGGGACCCTGGCCGCTGCCATAATCACGTGTGGGAATGACCCAAGGATCCGTGAGAGTGGTGGTGGTTCGCAGCCAGGTGGTGGAAGTATGGCGCGTAGGGGCCCGGACCTGTGAAGGGGTAGGGCACGCCGTGGGAGTAGAGAAGGCCTCCTGGATAGGGCCCTGACGGGAAGCCTCCCGCCGGGGGTGGAACTGTGGGACTGTTGACGTCCATACCAGGGTTTTGCTTTTTCCACTTTGTGCGACGGTTTTGAAACCATATTTTGACCTGAGAACGAAAATTGGGATATAAATAATCAGTACAAGAAGTACCTACCAGATAATATTGTCTATGATTTATGCTAGTAGTGCACTGTTAACATATGCATTCAAGAATAACCTTATTTTTTTACGGCACTCGGAACGTGCTAATTTAAACAAAAGAATATCGACCTCCTGTTTCAAAGAGACTTAAATATACTTAAAATATACTACGATTCTAGTAAAAATATTGAAGGAAAAATCTTTTCTATGGTAGAATTTCTTTTCTAATCACATGCATGTTATTTTTCGTAATTTTTAGATTACAAGATCAGAATCTTACTAACCTGTGTTTCCGTCAAACTAAGGCTTAAAGCAAGATTAAGCCTTTCGCACACCGACAAATATCTTGTGGTCTTAAACTTATTCTCCAAAGAAACCAGCTGCTCATAGGTAAAAGCTGTTCTTGCTCGCCTTGGTTTAGTACCACCCTTTGAGTCTCGGGAACTTTTTCCTTTTTTGGAACTGCTAGGACTTTTCGGGTCTCCGTTCTCGTCAAGGTCTGATTGGGTGAGGATGTCATCATCCATGGTGGATGTCTGGTCGTCCGTCTCGACATCGTCGGCTTCGATGTCGGATTGAAGGTGGTCTTTGACTGAAACAAGAGGTTTTTATTAGAAATAGAACAATCAATATAGTTTTTCAATGATATACTCAGTCTACTTAGTGTTTGTACGAGTACCTAATAGTAGTGAAAGGAAAAAGCAACCTAAAATCTGAATTGCGTACGCGCATTTTTTATTGAAATACTTTTCTTTATTTGAATGTCTCAAATTATTTTAATTATTGTCGCGTTTCATTTGTTTAGGTAACTAGCTGCCCCCGGTGAACTTCGTTTCGTCTTAATATTATTTTTTACGGTCTACCTTATTAGTAGCTACGTAACAACAGATGGAATATTTTGCTATGCTACCCCATACCGACTGTTCGCTTTTCCGGAATAAAAGCCTAAGTACTAAATTTTAATCATTTTTCATATTTTTTTCTACATAAAAACCTTCGATTGATCCAGCCGTTTTCGAGTTTTGCGCAACATATTTTGCGATTGATATATACCTAGATTACTACTGACAATTAAGTGCTTCCTTCTTTCCTTTAAGCTGCTACCTTTTGTGTAAATTAAGAAATAAAATAATAAAAAATCCAAATTCAAACTTTTACATGCTCTATCTCTACATTTCGTCGGCTTAGTTTATTTTAGGCCCAGCCATGAACAATTTAATTCGTTTTGTTACAGACAATTAGTAAGACACGCGAGTAATGTGAATTGTTTGTCTTAGTCAAAGTTAGCTGGAGACAGATTGGTATTCTATTGGTTCTAGGTATCTATATTAAACCAAAGTCTATCTTATTTCCTTGGCTTTTGTGGATTTAAAGCGGTGTGGAAATAAAGCATTATCACTGTTATTAGTATTTTTCAAAGGAATTTCACTCAATTATATTTTTATTCTTACGAACACATCAAAATATTAAAAACCTTATATTTATTCACTTAAAAACTGCTTTTATATAACAACGAATATAATCATATTTACCTCGAAAGGTATCAGGCATTTATATTTAATTAAATTAAACCAATATCAGAGAGGGATACTTAATAGATTGGGTGAGTTTTGCCAAGTTCATAGACGAAATTATTTCAATTACAATACAATACCTAATTTCCCTAACATTCGTGAACGCCTGGAAGAAAACGAGATAGTGGTAAATAAAAAGAAATTGAAAAACTTGTATTTATCTGAAGACTACCCGAAAGAAATATTGACATGAGAAGGAAACTACAACCAAAATTGGAAGAGGAAAGGAAGAAGGGCAATTATGCATACATAAACTACGACAAGCTAATTATTAAACAGGGCAAACCAGGTAACGAAAAACGCAAAAGGGAAACATCAACCTCGCCTAACGCAATAGAGCACCCTCACAAACAACAACTGTCAACAAAAGCAGCTCGGTTAAATGCATTCGACATAATGAGGAATAGAAGTAATTCCTTACCTTCTGCCAATTGCCAACCGTTCAGAATCTATAGGATATTGCCATCAGCCACCGGAACAAAACATTAAACAGACGAGAACTAATAGATAAAAGAAACAAAACATCCCCAATCCGACTTGTCATCGTGGGGAATCAGACTACAACCCTCCACCAAATAGAGAAATAGATCATGGTATGAAACGAACACTCAAAATCTGCAATTATAATGTAAAATCGCTAGGATCAATAGAACGATTCCTTGAATTGACTAATGCTCTAAAAAATATTAACTGGGACATTATAGGCCTTGCAGAAGTCCGAAAAATGGGATGTAAGATAGAAGAGCACAGCGACCTTATATTTTGCTATATTGGCGAAACTAAAGGACTATATGGAGTGGGATTCCTTATCAAGAAAATGTATAAAAATAACATCATCAACTTTATAGGAATCTCTGAAAGAGTAGCACTTCTACAATGAATTTGATTGCTTCTCTTTTTCAATAATCCAAGCATATGCACCGACAGAGAGATCAACAGAAGAAGAAATTGAAAATTTTTACAAAGACATTGAATTTGCTCACACAAAGACAGAAGGGAAGGTCATTGTCATGGGAGATTTCAACGCGAAAATAGGATGTCCAAAAAACAAACTACTATCCAGTAATGGGAAAATATGGTTACGGAGTGCGGAATGATAGAGGGGAACGGCTCTTAATTTATGCTCATCAATACAAACTATCCATAATGAACTCATTTTTCAAAAAGAAAGCAAGCTCTAGATGGACATGGTTATCACCCGACCACAAAACTAAAAATGAAATAGATTTTATTATGATAACCCACAACAAACTTATAACTAATATTGAGGTACTTAACAAAGTTGAATTCTCTTCCGATAGATTAGTGAGAGCAACATTACTTTTGAGTAGTCAGTAAAGAGCAGAAAACCTATACAACACCAGCTAATATCCCCAAGACAGAAACAGAAATAAAGTGCTACATCGGAAATCTACAAAAACATACAGAAAATATAAAAACAGACAGCATTGATATTCAAACATACTACAATATCCTGGAAAAAGGCATAACAGAGACTTAAAATACAAAACCAATATGTATCCCCACCAACACAATATCTTCTCAAAAGACACAATGGAACTTTTAAAAAGGCGCACGGAACTACTACACACAAAGAACAAAACTAAAGATATGAAAACAGAACTAAGCAGAATATACAAAGAGACTAATAGATCAATCCGTAAGGACTACAACAACCACAGATACGAGATTATTACAAGGAACATTAAACATTTTAGAAGTGCCAAAAAGCATACAAAGAATTAACTACACACAAGTCCTGATTCGAAAACTTGAAAATAACTCACTAAAAACAAAATCCAGAAAAGATAATAAATCACGCTACTAACTTCTACAAAAACTTATATAGTAAACAAAATAACCCCGAAATCATATCGCAAACAACCCATACGAACACGACAGATCACATCAGACAAATTGAATACTCCGAATTTATGATCATATGAAAAGCTGAAAGCCGAGAAGAGTCCCGACCAGACGGAATATGCAATGAGGCACTTAAAATAGGAGCACCCATTTTAACATATCATTTTACGCGATTGTTCAATAAGATACTAGATGAAGAAAAGGTACCAAAACAGTGGTGTACATCGGATATAATCCTTCTCTTCAAGAAAGGAAATCCCTTAGATATAGGAATTACAGGCCCATAAGTCTGCTGGCAATATTTATAAACTATTTTCATCCATAATCTTAAAGAGAATATCTGACGATATTGATAAGCAGCAACCAAAAGAACAGGCAGGATTCAGATCAAGCTTCAGCACAATGGACCACATACAGACATTAGAGCAAGTCATAGAAAATACAGAGAACACAATAGACCTCTGTATTGGCGTTCATTGACTATAGCAAAGCTTTTGATAATTATCACTGTGCAATCTGGAACGCTTTACAATATTCAAATATCAACCAGAAATACATCAATGTTTTGAAATATATCTATACAAAAAGCACGAGCAGAGTTAAATTAGAAACTAGAGGCAGAAATAAACATAGAACGGGAGTTAGACAAGGTGATCCTCTTTCCCCGAACTGTTTATAGCAGTCCTTGAAACTATCTTCCAAAACTAGACTGGAAGAACAGCGGAGTGTACATAAACGGACAATACTTAAACAATCTGAGGTTCGCAGATGATATTGCTTTATTGCTGAGACTGCAAAAGACTTAGACGAAATGATGAGATCATGACTGGAAAGTTCCAAAATCGGCCTTGAAATGAATGTAAATAAAACGAAGATACTAACGAACAATCGGAGCGCCAGATAGTGATAAAAGGTAATAATATAGAATACGTCAGGCAATACATATACTTGGGCAAACAAATTTCCTTCAAAACTTCAAATAACGAAGAAGAAGTGACAAGGAGAATCAACACAACTTGGAAGAAATTCTGGGCACTAAAAGAAATCTTAAAAGGCAATTACAGCTCACACATGAAAAGGACAATATTTGATACATCCTTTACCTTGCTTGCTGTATGCTGCCAAACTTGGACCTTTACAAATAAAATAAAACAAAAATTAAAAGTAACCAAACAGCAATGGAAAGGATATGCTGAAAATTAGGAAAATACACAAAATTAGAGCGAAGAAATTCGTCAAAACCAAATTAATGATCTCTCAGGCACGACTCTTACTCAAATGGAATGGGTGGACACATCTCACGATACGAGACAGAAATGGACCATTGAAACCACACGATGGAAAGGACCCATGGGGAAGAGAAATTTGTCGACAATTAAGACGGTGGGCTGATGATATAACACACTCGCAGGAAACGACTGATACAAATAGGCAGAGACAGGGAGTCATGGAAAAGGATGGGGAGGCCTTTACCCAACAGGATCAAACCTTGTACATAAATAATAATACTAACGGTAATTGTAAGTAACCATTTTTTTAAATTTAACAATTAAGTAGTACTAACAACATTGTAAAACATAAGCAAGTTTTGGAATAAATGCTTTATTATTTCAATTACAATACAATACCTAATTACAATTACTTTTCTAGTACAATTAAAAACAGAGACATGGTACGACTGCCAATTTATAAAGTATGAAATATATACAATATATATACTAATTATACATTTGAATTATCATACAACATATCACCTATGATTTATTAGAAATTTGCTGTGATGTGTATAACACAGTTAAATAAATTTTATTATCTGCTAATGACGCGCCTACAAGAGCACATTTAATTTAGCTCAAACAGTCACATATATCAGTCAACGGGACATGCCCCAACGGAGGCCTGTCGATTGTCTATTATAAATATATGTTCTAATCAACACGTGTTTGCAATGGGTTCTCAAAGGTCGCTTTTGGCGATTTTATTTGTGTAAAAATGTCATTTTGAACGCAGACTCGAAATAGTGACGCTGTGTACCTATGTGTTGGTAAAGTTTTTGTACCATAAATTTTGGTGACAGACTTCGCTCACTGTTTGCTGACGATATATCTATTGTCAATCAAATCAAATCGATCAGTCTTTCGCATCTAATGCCGAAACAAAACTATTTAATACTTAAATAGCTGTACTGTCGCGGCCGCAGCGCAGGCGGAAAATAATCAACGGCTAAAACAAAAGAGTCTTTCCTTCAACTTTGATTTTCTTCCCTTTGGAGTTGACTCTTGCACTGTGGGGTTCAAGTGTACAGGCGCCAATTGGCGCCTGGCAGGTACCGGTGACCCCAAAGCTGGTGCTTTCCTTGCTCAACGAATAAGTGACACAATACAGCGAGGAAGTTCAGCCAGCATTAAAGATACGCTGCCACAGGGACCAAACTTTTTAAATTGGTTGTAATTTTCTGTTTATCTATTTTTAATAATGATTATTTTTAATACTTAAATTCAAAACCTTATCAAAACAAACTGAACCACATCGCCATATTAAAGAACAAAGAAGCTATAAAATCAGCGGACAGCGACGGACAACTTTAGTTTCGATCGCGACAGTTTAAATGAAGAACACATGGCACAGATTAATTATAACCTAAAAATTACGGGCACATCCAGCGGGTTGTCAGTATTATAACATGCTTAACCGTTTCACATCGATTTGACACTTATTAATGTTGATTTTATCGCCATTTCGCGCTCCAAAAACGATTCCGATGTCACACTTAAATACTGAGACAATTTCCTTAATATTTACACATCCTGTCGGCCATTAGAACGTATTTTACTAATTTCACTAACCACGAAATAGCCATAAATTATATTTTAATGTTTCCGGACGAAAATTGTTGCCAATGTTGCCACATTAAAAATTAAAAGCTTTAAAACTATTTCGCATTGACAACGCTCGAATGAGAAGGAAACGGAAATGGGCATTATATCATGTGGAAAACATGAAAAATTAAGATAAACTCGACGGCATCGTAAAAATATTTTATGGCAACTTTAATTGCGTAATAGATTAAAAAACTGTTTGATACGAGACGATAGATATTCGGACATTTGA